TCACGAAATAAATTTTACTGTATGTTCTATTGCTGTAATACGCCGCAAACGAGCAGAAAAGTGAAGAGCCAAGATAAGTAATCAGCAATTTTATCATGATAATGTGTACTTATCACAGCTTGTGCAATTTCTCAACAAACTTACGAAAATCTACAAGTATAACTACTTCCGTATTCTCCTGATCGTCTACTTTTGTATTTGTCAAAATAAAACTCAATTTAAAAGGAAGAATATTTAATGATACGAAAACAAAACAACAAAACAATTTCTAACAATATCAAGAACAGTCTCCCAAAAATGTGCAGAACAATAGAAAATTAGCTATATGTGTGTACGAATATCTAAATAACGTAAAGTGTTACATTATCTCCGCCGATGAGTTTATTTTATATAAGAATTACAATCAAAGTCGAGATACTTTTTGAACGGATCTCGTATAACGAAAGTCACGTACAATCAAAATATCTCGAGAGAATTGTTATTTATAATCTGTTTTTCAGTCTGTGATAAACAACAATAAACATCTCACAATTGCACCACGTGCAATCTTTATAAAAGCAAACATTGATATATACGATACAATTAACTTGAGAAAGATAACGATGGATTTGAGATTATCCAACGAACTCTAGCGAGGCTTTTCAATAAAGCACTTTTCTAATTGTTTTCGAGGACGAGCCCCGCGCGACTTCACACATGTGGTATAGCGAACTTTCGTCGAACAAATGGATGAAACTCTTACCACGAGGTTGAGGTTTTAATGCTGCATAAAATCAATTGTTCGATTGCATAAAACCAATTGTTCGATTGCATTTATGATTTTTCAGAGAAATAATTCATAAACATTCAGTAAACAATTAAAACCTTCTGCCTTTCTTATACAAATCTAACCAATAAAGTAAGACAAAAAATTTTTTGGCAAAAAGGTTCATTAAATAAATTAAATCACACATATGACACTATTCCCCGTGTTACTATAATTGAATAAGGAATATGTAGCAACGCCTAAATTCGCATATCAATATCAGAGGACACACGATCATTGAACTTTCTCAGTACTATCCGCCCTTAGCAATATCTTGCCGCCACATCTCGTATGTGTTACATGACTTTTCCTCTCGTATACTATTCTGATTTCACTTCAGGAGTTTTATTTTAACCTATAAGAATAGCGACGCCATTCTTGGAAAAAAGTCAAACTTAAAAGTTTGCAATATTGTATACCATGATGTATACAACCTATACAAGAGTGATACCTACGCAAGAAAAAGAAATCAATCTAACATTTTTGTCGTATGTAATTGTAGCGCAAAAAATACAACAAAAATCAAATGTATCATATATATTTCATATAAGATAGCAAGTTTATCAGCTGTCAGCGTGAATAAATTCAAAATATCTGCATTCACAACATGCATATTAAAGAAAATCGTTATGCACTCAACTTTTGCGCATTTCTTCCTTCATTTCTGCCCAGAGATTTAGTTTATAAACAGTGGCAGAATCGTAATAGGAACTAAATACGGACTATCCGATAAACCGTTCGTAAGTGGAAGTCGGATTTCTAATTAAAAGCGGATGACCCGTGAAAACAGTCGACGGATAGTGTTCATTGGCGTCCTAATGCACATCTGACGTAACTCGTGCCTAATCCGTGAGCCGCGTTTAATACAAAATGCCTTGTATACAGAAAGTCCGCGGTACAATTGCATAAACGCTTTAAACACGGGGAAAATGGCATTAGTTAATGTACACTACGTACAGAGACAAGTTGGCACAGGAACTATAGCGCCAATCTAACGTCGGATACTCAAATCAGAAAATAGTATTCAATACTTTCCCCGGTGAATGTATACAAGATATTTTGGTGTTAATATTTAATATTTAATAAGCTTCGAGCATAATTTGATTAATTTATAATATTATATTCGAGTACTAACACGGATTACGATCTTTTCGTTATAATTGCAAAAATTAATATGCAAAATTTTCAATCCTGCTAAATATTAGCGTTTAAAATTATCGTTATGGCCACAGAGTTGCTCACGATCAAATTATCTTTTGTTTTTTCTCATTTTTTGTATATCGCACAGAGTGGTAGTAACATAATGATCGTTTCGTTATGTGAGTGACAACACGTTTCACGAGACAATTCGATTTGTCTTGCAGACACGCGTCGCCCTCGATAACGATCTCGATTACTCCTGCCCGAGACACAGCTTCGCTCACGCGATTAGAATTGATCCTAATTACACCTCAGTGTAAATCCCGTATTAGAAGACTACGGAGCAGGACGCGCGGCGCGTACTTGGGCTGTTCGGAGATTCGAATACTATTACCGGCGTCAGATCTATTTAATTGTTGCTAATGCCAATTCTAATGATCCGTTTCCAATCTCTAGTCCAACTGCACACTCAGGTTTCACTGATTCTCACCAAGCCCGAATACAAATCGAAAATAGATCAAGCGTAAATTTCTCGTTTCGCGAAGTAGAATTTTGTAAAACATTGATAATTTTCCATCATAAAGACGCGAGAAAATGTGATTTTGTACTGTTTTTTTTTTTAAGTTAACTCTCTTTAAATCAAATATTTGAACTTAATTGCATTTTTTCACGAGGGACAAGTAAAAAAAGTTAGCAAGAGAGATACATTTAAGAATTTCTTGTACTTTAAATCCTTAGAAGGATCTATTTAAGATTCAAAGTAACTCCGTAAAAGCGGATCAATAATAATAATTTGTATCATAAGAGTTTACATTCGAGTCGAAATATAGGATTTCTGGACCGATGTAAGTTCCGTCGTTGGTGACGGCTTTGTTTAATCGTCACCTAATGTCGCTAATGTTCCGATCTAACCCTTCGTTCGTCCAGGGAAATTGCCTCGCGGTATAGTCCTTCCGAGAGATCTAAGCTATACCGAGCGTAAAGCCTGATCTCTATTGTGAAGTTCTCAGTTGAACCTTGCTTTGACGTCTCTGCGTAGGATCAACTAGATTGTTGAATCAGCGAATTGCTGTTCGATGTTTGCGGAATGTACATCGATCGTACGTTTATAACCACAGATCAATAGACAGCCCGTACAGAAAGGACGTCCAAATCCGATCGGACTCAATGGTTGTAATCGCATCACCAGAATATGTCAATAATAAAATATAAAATATATTCATATGTATTCGGTGAATTATTAATATCGTAGCCTTAATTAGACCATCCGGATATTTACGAGATTGAGCAAGAATCGGGAAAAGCAACAAAAAGATTATGGTTAGATTATAATATATTTTTTAGACACATGTGACATACGAGGTCTGTCCAGAAAGTACACGACCTCTGCGTATATCTTTGTCCTTGGGCATCCTATTGTGGAAAACAGGCATTTAGAATTTAGGGGGAAACCGGCAAGACCTTGAGGAGTATCCTCACCAAGCAACGCGACTCAACAGCTGTTTAGTTGGCAACGGTACGCAATTATGTGAGCATCGCATTTCGTGCGCATTTATCTCACCTGATTCAGGATTTTTTCAACTTAGAAAATAACCAGAAGTCACGAAGTTATATGTAGAATCCCCCCAATGGGGATTGGAGAAGTTGGACAATGCTGTGTTTATAGTCCTAGTAAAAAATCTTGAATCAGATGAAATGAATGAACGGGTGAAATGTGACGCTCGAAATTTTCACACAACCGTGTACCATTGCTGACTGAACAGCTGTTGAGTTGTGCCGTTTGGTGGAGTATTCCTTCAAGGCCCCCCCTAAATACAAGAGAGAGAGAGAGAGAGAGGGGGGGGGGAGGATGCCCAAAGACAAAGATATTTTTTACCACTTTACTTACATATGTTGCCAAGATCATGGCCCTGAATGATCTCCTACAAGTTTTAGCCGACGCTCATTATTTGTTAAAAAGTTATTAAGAAAAAAAAATTTAATTTAATAAACTAACGTTTTATTTTTACTATATGCAATATTTAAAAATACTGCATCCCTTATGTCTAGAAGCGTCCGACTTTCCACGCGAAGCGAGATCCATCCCACTTTCCCCCCTGCCAAGGGACGTTCGACTTCCAACATGAAGATTCCGCATGAGAAAAGTCCGCGTCCCTAGGAAGGGAAGAGGTATAGTGGAACTCGCTTCGCGCGTAAAAGGAGAGAGAATCGTTATTTCTTAAACTTTTTTGTTAATAACTTATTAACGAATAACGAACGCTGGTTAAAATTTATTGGAGGTCATGACCTTAACAACATATGTCAAGGTCAGGGTTATCGGAGTTATAAGTCCCCTATAGTGTACAATTACCAATACCTTTGTTGATCAAAATATACATCTCTCTATAGATGAAGACTTCCTTATAGAGAGTATGGAACTTTTCACATCTAGAGCTCCTATGGGTGTTGAATTCCACACCCAGAATTCGAGGTATTGAAAAAAAATGTTAATTAAAAAAACATTGTTTTTAATTTTGACAGAAAACAGTATTTGACTAGAGTGTATATGTAGAAATATATTTCGCACATACAACATAAAAGATAAAATATTTGCGTCATTTTAAAATCACCCCCTTCCTCCATTTGGAAGGTATTCCACCGTCTAGAAAAGTCAAAAGTCTCCGCCCTTGTCTCTCTCTATTTTGTGTAATCACAATTATAAAAAGGATTCAACTGCATAATAGGAAATTTCAAATACATAGTTTAGAAAGAAACTTGTGCCGGCACAGATCGTAGCAGTTTTAGCCAGTGCTATTGGATTAAAACGAAAAAGATTGCTCGCTAGCAGATTAGCTAACATATCCGACACGCAAGGCTCACTCTACTTAATACAACTTGATCCTTTTTAATTAAATGCCCTCCCGATCATCTTGTCTCCTACCAGAAACACTCTTTTAGATTTTCTTCTTTACTACTTAGTAAAGAACCTTCTATTGCCCGCGATAATTGAAACACAAGATATGAGAAAAGACATTCGATGTTATTAATTTTATCAAAATTAATGATAATCACATACCTTAACCAATGCCTTTTTGTAAGAGCCGTGTGACAGCAGATAGCATCATATTGATCGGCAAGCCACACTATCAAGATTATGTAAAACGCAGTGGTTGTGTCGTTGAAAAATTCAGACATAAGTGCCTCCATTCCTAAAAAAAGAAACAAACAGGAATATTTAAGAGTAATGACAATTAAAAAAAGCTGTCGCTGTTGTTCGATACTTTGCACCAAATATAAAATTTCTTTTATATTTTTCATAAAATTTTTTTAAATAATGCGCTTATAAATTACAATAATATAACATTGATATGATACTTCAAATTAAATAATGTCAAAAGAATAATCGATTCTAACGTAATCGAACGAATACGAACGTGTCCTATATTAGTGGACAGTTTTCCACGCAATTAAAACTTCGACAGTGAGCAAGATTCGTTTTTCGTAAATTTATCGTCAATGCATGGCCGTTATGTTGTAAAAACGATGTACCATATTGATCTTTCTTATCGCTTCACAAACGTTAAACATTTAATCTTACTTAACAAGTGAAACATTACTACGAATTAAAATGTCTGTAAAAAAAACAATGAGAATAAAAAAATACATATGTATACAATATTATATTTGCCAATGTATTTTTTTTTTTTAATGATCTAATGGATATAGTAACGATACACGAATGTTCACAGAAAAAAGTGTTTTTATGTCATTTGAAAATAATATTAAAACACTTAATATGAAGTATAATAATCGCGAGAAAGAAAAAAAAAGCATTTGTTCTTATGTGCGATTACCATCTTTCATTTTCATTGAGACACGTGGCCGAGTCGGTATTTATAGATCCAGTTGGATTCCATTTAGTCGGTTTTCAAAAAATATTCCTATAAGTCGGAAGAAAGTAGACGTGCGCGTATATTACGTGGGAGATCGTCGTGGCAGTGCTAGATGAAGGTGCCACAGACGCGCGACCAGCAAGGATGAATGGTCTTGAGACTAAGGGCGCGACGTTAGATAATTAGTTTCTCTATCGGACACAACGCGACGCAACATTGAAAGAAAACAACGCCGCGGGAATGCTAACAAGCGGGGCTCACGTCGCTCGTATCCGGGACGCAATACGGCCAAGATACAGAAGTACAAATCGACAAAGAGACGTGGTCTGACAGCGCTCACGGGGGTAGCTCGACAAAGTGAGAAATTACTTCTTAAGAGAGCAGGGCGGCCGATTGTCTCGCGAAGAAAAGGAAATCACTTATGCCGCTATTGTAACAAAAAAGTAATGTTTGTGCAATGGGATTTTTTCCAAATATACAAATGCTACTTACAAATTATCCTGTTTATTTTCATCTATAGATCCTTTAATAAATCTGGGATCGATTTCTCCACAATGTCAAGTACCATAAATGTGAGAAGGCCACAAATGAAATTTCTGGTGACTCTTAAGTTAACTCTAATCAATACTCGTTCAGAAATTTCCTTAACTGATATTTGCGGATTCGGTGTATTTTAAATTATAAACTATCTTTATTTAAAAAACAAATAAGGGCTAATGAGAATTTTTTGCGCGGTTGTTAGTGCGAAAATAAAAATCGTTTATTGTCGAAAAATATAGTATAATTAGTTACGCATAAACGTTTCGGCCTGCTTCCGGGCCATCATCAGTATGTCTAAACGTTAAAAAATAAATATGTTGAACAAGGGCTCTCTCTTATCAAACAAACAAAAAACAACCAAACTCAAGGCTAATGAGAGTCAGTGCGAGGAGGTGTAATAAATCTTACGCAAGTAATTTTGTTAATCCACCCGATGTGATGACCTCATCTTTATTCAAAATCTCGAAAATTTGTACATGATTTGTAATGACACATTCGTCGCTCCAGATGGATTGGACGGAGTTTAAACAAAGTATGTAAAATGTATTACAGAATGTGTTTAATTGTGAAAATAAAGACATTATCCAAGGTTTCATGATAAGATTTGGCGATCGTGTGGATAACATTTTAGTTTTGGCAACCTGCGAATGACTCTATCTATATTGAACGTTCGCAAAATCTAATATTATTCAAGAAGTTTGCTAATGTAGATTCAAAAGAGAATCGAAACGTACAAATTTTCAAGATTTTGAATAAAGATGAAGAAAAATTAATGAACATCAAAAATCAATCAGAGTCGAGAGACAAAATGATTTTTGATGTTCATGTCTTTCATGGCTATATGGGTGAGTGCATTAATTTTTCTTTATAAAAAAATATAATTAGTAACGTTTTCGATATCTACACAGATTTTTATCTGTTATTCGTTGCCACTGGAATTGTCAACCATTGCCAATTGAATAAGAAGATTGAGTTGCCACCTTGTCTGCCGTCTTGTCATGAGTAAGTGAGAATTTTACAATATACGTTCAGACATACTGATGATGGCCCGGAAGCGGGCCGGAAATTTTATTTTTCCTTCATATAAAAAAATAAATAAAGAATTAAAAATAGTAATTTCAACGTAGTAATCTTTTTCGCCTATTTCGCATGTTTCTAAATATTTCTTATACCGTAATAAATATCATATCTCAAATTGCTTGTAAAAAAAGCTATAGAAAAGACATAATTGCCTCGACTTTTTTTCATGTTGCTCCAAGTTAAGTAAGGATTAAAGCAACTTGGGATCCAATGATGCGACTTCGTTAACAACAGAATGCACATGAATCAGTTACATATTGGCCTGTGTGCCGAAAGGATCGTTAACATCGGATAATGCGCGGATAATGCACTCGTTTAAATGCATACTAGTCGAGCATTACCTCACCGTATAGGTAAGCCTTTAACACGGCTTCCTACCAGAGAACCATCTAACTCCCGATCATATCCCCATTCTCTTTCCTCCTCAATTTTGATAAAAACGCTCAAATTCGAGATTGAAATTGCACTGGTATAACGTTGCAATTTACAATATATTTAGTATTTTTCTTACGGTAAAACACTAATTCAGCTGCAATCGCATTCAAGCTTAGCAGCTTAGAAACGAAAGACATGAAATATATGATGATCTAACCGATGGAATCGGACATTACCAATGACCGACTGCGCAAAATACCGTGGTGAAAATTGACGGAACGGCATGGTTCCCAATTCCCGACTGATGGTTCACGAGTCATAACTAATTCGAAACCGTGACTACACGACGCACGGTTGTCGCACGGGCTCTTGCGTAATTGCGCGTATGCTTCACCACGCCGTCCGTGGTCCACGGCTCGCCGACGCCCGATGTCGGTGTCGGCTGATCGAGCGTAAACTTAGGCCTTGTAAATAGGCAACGATTTTAAATTAGTGCCCTTGTTGATTTTATTAGATATTTCGTATATGACAATAATGATGAAAATGTCAAATGCTCTAAATATTATACAAATACATCTTTATATTTCGTCTCATAAATATATCAAAAATTCATAAATAACAGTTAAGTAATTGCACAATCTCGATAATATGTAATAATTGACTACAACGATTACGACTTTTATCACGTATCTCCATGTTTAAAAGATAAATATTACAGGTTAATACCTTATAATTTCGAAGATAACGAGAAACATTGGCAATTTTAGAAATAAAATAACGTTGCGTTATAAGGTTTCTATAAGAAGGAAATTAAATATCATTGAAATATTATAATTGCATAAATATTACATATAAAAACACATAGCGCGCTGTTACGCCAAGTTCATCCATTAGCTGCGATTAGTCGCGCGAAGAATGATGCAATTCATGTGTATATTGCGTAAATTCATATCTGACGCAATGCAAAATAATACTAGAATGTGCGTCGCGCGTATTTTCTGAAGAGGCGGTAGCTAATAATGTGGTTAATCAATGGCCAACTGTGTACGGCCATCGCTCACGTGTCATCGGCATTGAGTCGAGCTCGGTCGGTACCAATATTGCACACAACTCGGCTGAATCTACCCCCTCCCTTTTTCTCTCTTCCCATCTAATAGACATAATATTTCCCACTGACCGACCACTGTGCGAACGTTTCGAGTTTGATCGAACGCGAATTCAACGTACTTGATCGAATGCGAATATAAATAAAAGTGACTGCAGTTCATGGATCCTTACGAAATTCTTTTGCAGAAGACTGCTGTCTTCTACAATAATATTAAATATGTTTCGCGCTTACTCACCAATCACTTATTGCTATGTTAATTTTATCATATCCCATACGAGAAAACTAATCTCAGATAAATTCAGGAGTATCACATGAGAAAAAACCTATTATTACAATTTGTCAAACGAATGTGACTAATCCGATCTCAAAGACAAAAGCCATAAATTTCTTTGAAATTAGTTTACAAAGCTAGTTGCGGACCGGTTACCACTAAAGATCTATATAATTGTTAGCTACTCTATTCTTGTAAACTATACGGGTAGTCCTATCTTCGTTGGAGACACGTTCGCGTCTTGTATAATGCTCGATTATATAAACTCGCAGATCTCCTTTCGCGAAGTGACTGTTGACGAGATAATTAGGAGCGAAATCGTACTCGTCAAAGCATGAAAGATTTAATCAAGGACCAATCAGGACTCGCATTAACCGTCGTATGTCAGAAGCAGAACGGTATCGTAGAGTAGCGAGTCCCGGGCAAATTATCCGTTGCTATACCAGGATCTTCGCTGCTGCAGACGCTATATTGTGCTTTGGCAGCAGAAGCGGCTTTAGAGTTGGCGAAGTAGGGGGTCATAGACTGTTGTTTAATCTGCTCTAACACCATGATCTAGCCCATTGCATACGTCGGCACCTCGCATATGCGAAACCGTAATCGCGATAATTTGCCTAATCGTAGTATTACAAGAGCGAGTTATACTTATTTGATATCACGATATCACGATATCACGATATTGTGAAAAACGCATGAAAATCTCTTCATTTTATGAAAAGCTCACTTGATATGTCATATCAGCAGCAAGATGCACAGAGAGAGATAATCCGATTTCAATCATTTTTTATTACAATACATCCTGATTAATCCATATCCTAAGTATTTTGGAATTTTGCGATTCCTTTATCACAATGACAGTCAAGCTATTAAATGCTATTTATTCCCTTTAATCTACCAAGGCCGAGACGCTCGCGCTCACGCGCCTGTGCAAAATATGCTAATACGTATACGGTAGCTTCGCATCAACGTTATAAGCAGATAAACGGAATGGTGCGGGTGTACAACGTGTTCTGACCGTCTCTGAAAATGTGTTTACAGCATGTTAGGCGGCCGATCATGCGTCACTGATGCACAGAGGCGCCGGTGTGCCTTCGTTCTTTGACGTTCCATTATGCAAAATCGTCTTCCACGTCGTACCTAATGCCAAATGCCGAACGACGCGTGGACGATTTGACGTGAATTCACGCTGATGATGCCACAGGCACCCGCCAGACAAAATATTGCCCATCAACGACGTAAACGCAAGGATGAAAATTGAAAAAGAACATGCCGAGCCGAATGGCAAATAGCGTTGAGAAAACGTTACGCAAGATACCAAATATAATGACGTGTAATCTAAATGCTAACGTAAACGATAAGGTATACATTTCGAGATTATTTAGAAAATTGCAAAAATACAAAGATGTCAGATGACAAAGTTGCTTGCAAAAGTTAAAGGACTTTTTCTAACGAATTATATTATTACAAAGACATTGCATGAATATTCCCCTAGAACTTTATTTTTATTCAAAGAAATACTACACAGCATTGTGCTTTCCACGCTTCTTATTATCGTACAAATTGGGAAAAATTGCAAAAATTAAAGGATACAGAAATGCTAAAATACAAGAAAGGGAAAGAGTAACGATATATTCTCTTTGACCGAAAAGTAACATGTGATGGAGACGCGAGAGAAAGCTGAGAGAGCCATTGCAGGATGACGGATGGAGAGAGCAGGAAACAACACAGGAACTGGAACCTATTACTCCAAATAACTTCTCTAAGGCTTCTTTTCCTTTTCTCTATTTCCAACCATGTGACTCGATGCGCGCGCGCGCGCGCGCGCGCGCGTGTGTGTGTGTGTATATATTTTAATTTTTGTACATCTCTTGGCAATCCCCGCAATGGGGGAGGGATGCGGAAATTTACCACTTCTGTTGCTACATTTCGTTCAGCTGCTTGCTGACCGCGCAACTGGTGGTATATGTATAGATGAATGGATACCCTACTAGACTGTATATAAATCATTTTTGTGAAATCCGATAAATATATTGCAATATTGTTTTTTATTTAATTAAAATTAATGACTAGCTGTTATAGCATAATTCAAAAATAAGATGAACGAAAATATTATATATATCACAAATATTGTGTGTGTGTGTGTGTGTGTGTGTGTGTGTGTGTGCGTGCGTGTGTGTGTGTGTGTGGTGTATGTGTGTGTTGCTGCAAGCACACAAGTAGAGAAATATATGTATTATAATTGAATTCTCTGTGCTTGTAAGTAGGTAGTTGTGCTCAAGACAAACAGAAATAGGAAAGTTAAGATTAGATGGTAAGGTAAAACAGTATCTAATGTTTCAATAAATATATTATATGAATAGCGTGAAAATTTGTGAGAGAGAACGGATTTGAAACTTGTTAACAAATTAAAAGAGATGCTTTTCGAGAGAAATGATTTATTGCGTACAAAAGTATCGCAATGCAAGGAGAGGAAACAAAGATCGTAAATTCAGACTCTATCAATATTTTCAGAGCCGTCGGATAGACGGGAGGATCAGAGACGTCGTATTTTATGCAGGTCAATTGGACCATTGGTGCCAGTGGACACGCGAAGCGTGAAGAGAAGATATTCAGGTCGAAATGGAAATTGGTGTCGCGCAACGCCGCCGCCACTGCTGTTAAATGGGCTCCGAGCGGGTTACCCAACTGTTGCGCCTTCATCAGAAATTTATGCAGAATCCTGGGTTAACCGTCCCGGCCAATCAGCTTTGTAACCGAGCTAACGTCCTACAGGCGAGAATTCGAAAGAGCAAGAGTAGTCGTGATTTAGTAAAAAGGTATTTAATATTTCACTCGCACGTCGCGACCAAACTCCAACATACTTGAGAATTCTCACGGCCGATTGATTATTCCAGCTAAAACGAATCATCTTTCATCGAACACTTCCAAAAAATTGAAATGCAAAGAACAATAATAACGAAAAAAATTCAAGAAATGTTTGAATTTAAATGTAAAGTCCAATGAATGTGCAAATGCTATACAACCAAAATATTTCATTTTCTATGAAACATTTTCCAGGAAAACATGACAAAAATAAGAATAAAATATACCAGCACAAATAATTAAAAATATAGGTACTTAAAGTATATAAAACTTACCTACTAATGCCAAGACTACTGTCAATAGGGAAGCAGCTGGCAATGACACGGTTAAGTTAAACTCCAGCATTTGTATAAGATCAACTGAAACAAATGATAGAAATGCGAGTTTTAGTGTTAAACTTACATAAACATGTACAAGATAAAATATTTTCTATTATATTTTCTAATCTCCATATTCGATTATGTCCTCGAGAAACATATATAGCGAAACAATTTTCCATATGTGTGAAATTTAAAGAAAAAACAGAACATTATTTATATACACACACACACACACACACACGTACACGCCATCGCGTAAGTTCATCGCAAGATAGAACGCTATGTAGAAATCGTTATTCCGGTCGAGAACGGCTTGAATTTAATATTTATCAGGCACATCATGGTGAAGACTTCGCGAGCAGAAGGTTATTACGTAAGTTTAGCAACACCGTGAAGAAATCGTGTCGCGTTCGACGAGTCATCTCAAAGCTTGATACGAATTAATTTCGAAACTTCATCAATCCTGATTTAAATTCCACGGAACTTTCTATCGACGCTTTAAGCACTCCTCGCATACTTAATATTGATTTATTTCTCACGCCTATCTTTCCGATAAATATATTAGAAGATACATGTAATCGTTTAAAGCATTTATTCACCGTTATTAAACATAGAGATTGATTTAGGAGCGTGACAATTTTGTGTTTACGACTTCTTCGAATAATCTGCAACGTCATCTTGCAAGACGGAGAGTTAAGACTCAAGGATAGATTAAAAATTCATAATCGCATCGTTCCGAGCCGCGCCCGCCATGGGTGCAACAAAGCAATTAAAAAGTTAATACCGTCACTCGTCCTAGACGACCCACCGCGAGCCGCGCCTTCTTTACAGGATACACAGCGTCGTACTTTACAAATTTGCGCGACACTCCTGGCGGTTCAATTTAATGAATTTTAGATTTTAACTTATCACCTACTAACTCTCTCCCTCCAGTTATTAAAACTTGCCGCAATTCTTCGTCTTGTCCCGCATAATCCCCTCCTCTCTAACCAGCGCCACGTATATCTTTTACGTTTATTCTTTTTATCTTTTTTAACTTAACCGCTCTCTATCCGTTCGCTTCCGCTCTAATTAGACCGAATATATTATATTAAATACATTATATACAGAGAGAGAAAGCAGTCGTAAAGCTCGTGTCTTAAACAGTTTGCAAATTAATTATATTAAGCTTCGATTTACCGATATTAACGATATCGTAATTTATTTAATATTTAATGAGAAAATTTAATACAAAATTTACACAGAATATTATGCATCTTTAGTTTTTGTAAAGAACACGTGATTTTTCGGCTCAATCATGCACTACATTTGACATCAATATTGGAAGATAAAATCTTAAAAAAATATCAAACTAAAGAATAATGCAAACAATAGTCAGTAAAAACTGAGCGAGAAATTTTTAACACAAATAAGTAAAAAGGCTACATTCGGTCAAAACGGATCTTGGTGCCTAATAATTTTTTTTTTATAAATTTTCACTATTACCGGTTCAAGCAAACTGCGCGCCGATTATATTATTTATCAGTCTTGAAACAATCCTAAGCTGAAATCACAAATTAAATTGCAAAATTAAATTGACAAGCAATTTATTGTTAATGAGCATAATGCTAATGAGCATCTTTAAAACACTGTAAAGAATTTATTGCGAAAAACGTTACCCCCTCCCGCTAAGATTCAAATCTCAGAACTTCCTTCATTTCATAACGTTTTACTAATTTGACTACCGAGGCACGCGAAACAATGTATTTCAATTTTATGTAAAAATTTCAAATAAAACAATGCAATTCTTTAAATTCACTTTAATCTGATTAAATACGCAAATACAATACTTAGTATAAGTAAATAACTATAATAAAGTATTTATATAAACAGATCCTATAAACATTTAATTTTGAGATATATATAAAATAATATCATAGATATACAGGGTGGACCATCTGAAGTGATCCAGTCAAATATCTCGAAAACTAGTAGGGATAGAGAAAAATGTTTCGTATGAAAAGTTTAGGGTTACAC